CAGTAGAGTGAGAGAGGGAGCAGTTGAGGATGATGCCCAGGTTGCAAACCTGGGTAACCAGGAGGATGGTGGTATCCTAGGCAGGGCTTCTTAAATTTTTTCCACTCGCAACTCCATCAGTGCTAACTAAACTGTGGGTAGCGACCCCATGGGGTTACAACTCACAGTTTAGGAAGCGGTGCCGAGAGAAACAAAGAAGTCAGAAGTAAAGTCAAATCATAAAAACAATATCCAAGGATTTGTAGTTTGGGTCTATTGGGGGGAGGAGGGAAGTATCTGCCTTGAACTTGAAGTAATTTTTAAAAACAAAAATGGCAAATGATAGAGGGATGATGAGAAGACAGGAACACAAATGCACTGTTGATAAAATTATAAACGGATCCAACCAATCTGGAATTTGTTGTAATTCACTAACCTGGCACACCGTTTTATCCAATGAATCCAAGGGGAAAAAAAAAGAGAAGAAAAGGTCCTACATAAACAAAACTACTTATAGCAGTATTTTTGTAGTAGTAAAGAAAGGAAAATGGGTGTCCATTATTTGGAGATAGCTCCATGATTTGTGATATATGAATAAAATGGAATTTGTGTGTGTGTGCGTGTGTGTGTGTGTGTGTGTGTGTGTGTGTGTGTGAGTGATATAAGAAAATGGAGAAGAAGTCAGTGAATAAAGCAAGACTAAAGATTAGGAGAAAAGGGATGTGTGAAAAGCTCCCAGGGGAGATAAGAGATGAACTCAAGGGCAAAAGTAGAAGGGCTGACTTTGGTAAGAAGGTCAACATTTTCCTCCAAGACTAGAGGAAAGAAGGAGAGAATGGAAAAGGGTGTTAAGGAGATATCAGATATAGAATTGTGGAGAATAGGGACAGTCTTAATCTTTTTGATAAAGCATGAAGTGAGATTTTCCATTAAGAGGGAAGATGAAAGTAAATAATCAGAATAGGAAAAAATTAAGATTTAAAATAATACTGGGGAATGCAACGGGGAAATCCCCAAAGGGAAGAGTGATACAGTTCACTGACTTCATTATCTTTTCTTACCTAGCAGAAGTCTTTCTAAACTTAAAATACTTTCCTTAACATAGGGAAAGGGTGAAACACAAATACATAGTAGCATCCTTACAGAATAGGGAATAAGTTCTGAACAAGAGAATGGAGGGAAAAAGCTAAACAATTTAATACCTTCTTAACTCATGTTTTCCTCCAGTTTAGGTTATTTTATTCTGCTTATAGAAAATTCCCAAAGAACTACACGTTCATTCAAATATAAATATAAAAATACTTTCTAAAGTCGAATACAAATGAATTACGATAATTCTAGACATTGTTGCTCTTTTCATTGGTGATAATCAAGATACAACGGCATGTAAAATTGGAGTTTCCATAAATAAGCACTGAAACTATCTATTCAGAAAAAAAAATTAAGTAGTTGAGAAAATAATTTAACGATCTACTAAATGGTACAGTGGAAAGAGTGTTGGATTCGGAATCAAAGGACCTGGGTTTGAATTCCAGCTGGCCACTTATTGTGTGACTCTGGGAAGTCGTTTAGCTTCTGCTGGGCAGGCCTCGGTTTCCTCTCTACTATAACATGAAAATTTTGCATAGATTCCTCCCAAGGTCACTTTAGGCTCTAAATCCACAATTTCATCCTAAATTACCAAACACATGATCTTAAGTCACCAAACTAAATGTGATTTTATGCTGAAGGCATTCTTCCTATGGTTCTGTCTGTGATAGTTGTAGATATCTACAAAATAAATCGAATGTTTTCTTACAAAACACACTCTCTGATATTAAACGGTAAGCAAACAGCAAAGCCAGAAGGTATCAGATTTCAAAGATATGTCTAAAAAGTTAAAATTAATTCATCCAAAGTGGTTACTTTAAAAAAAAAACTACTTGACAGATTGCTACTGAACAGTTAGTATCTTCTTTATAAAGTGAAGTTTTAATTCCCACCCCACCCCAGATTAGAACATATAGTTCTTTTATTAAATAATGAAAAAAGGTTTAAAAAAAAGAAAGGTAAGGCTTTCTATCTGTCAGTTTGTTTCAGAAGAATTTTGTTTCAAATTCTCTACCTAAGATGGGAAGGAATAATACCAGACCATGGCATAGAGATAACACATCAATTTTTTAAGGTCTGCAAGATACTTGATACACATCACCTCCTTTAATCCCTATGACGACCTGCATTGTTCCCAGTTTACAAAGAGGAAATTGAGGCTTAGAAGTAAAAGTAATTGCCCAGGACCAAGAGGAGTCAAAGACTGAGTAGAGCTAGGACTCTTTCTAAAATATCATGTTGCCTTTCTAGATCAAAGACAGACAATCTAATTATTTTGCATCAAAATGAATGAGGGTATGAGGGTAAACTCAATAGGGTCAAGTCAGAATAGGAAAAGTCTAAAGTTTTTGGTTTTGGTTTTTTAATGGAAGAGATTTCTAACTAAAGGGCCTCTTAACTGGATGAAAATCCGAAAATAACACCTTGGTGACACATTAAACTACTTTGCTTAACTGAACAGGTCTGATTCCATTCAGCAGTAAGGGGCCTACCTAAAAAAGTTACCAAAAACCCTTGGAACCACAAAATCAAAGTTTTCATGATTTCTGAGAGAAAGATGATGCAGATACTTTCTACAAACCCTTAGGATTTCAACTCCAATTTGTGTAAGTAATTTTGGTCTGCTGGAACTGCTTTGGTGAACTTTTGTTTCCACTAATTACTTAGAACAGTTTAATAGCGCTACATGGAACCTCACTGGCTCTATTTCAGGGGTAAAGAAACAATGTTTCCTTAAAACGCACCATGTGGACCTAGAGGATGAAGGTGACTAGAGAATCCTGCATGTTACAGTCAGCTCATATACTTACTTGCTACATTTGTCTTAGCATAGGTATACCTAGCATAAGTTTGCCCTGACCTACATCATCTAGACAAATGTCCATTTACCATACGTGTCCCACAGAACTAACCATTCTCTGTGATATTCTTTTGCCTAGCAAAAAAATTAACCAATTAGGAAGGAGTATGTCTATATTCACTTTTTTTTTAATCTAAAGAACAATGTAAGCCTTTGTGAGATTTTGAGTGTTTAAAAGATTAATGATTTTTATTAGTTAAGGAACCTGGAAATCATAGAAAGACACTGGAGAGCAAAAAAGTATTATGTACTATTTGCTAAATAATTACAAGGTCCATTTTCCTGGCATATAGGTCATACTACGCTAACTGGTAACAGTTTTTAGGTTATTAAATATTGGTCTCAGTTTCATTACCTCAAGAAATTATGTTTTACTCATTTTTACATGTATGAAACGAACAATTCTGCTAAACTATACTAGAAGGAATTTTTATCAGTATTTGAAAAGTACAACATAAACAATACCCATCTATAAAGTTGTCTATGGACTTTTTCCCATTTCTATACCAATTTTTGATATATCTTCCCTTTAAAATGACTTTTCACTTAAACTGTAAAAGAACATTTAAGCCAAGCCAATAAAACTATAAGTCCTGTGTTATTGGAGATTTGTATTTGTTTTAGCCTCTGAAGATATTTTCCTATTATGTTTGGTTCTGACTTTAAAATTATCTTCTTTTTTTTATATAAAATGAAGTCATTATGAAAATCTGAAGTCAAATGCATTGCTCTTAGTAAAGGAGGGGGGAAAACAGCTACAAGGAAGAGCTTTATATTTTAATGAAAATAAAAGCCACCTCTACAAGGGTTTCAAGAGAAATTGGGACAAATAAAGGTGAAGAGATTCATTGGGTCCAACATCTGTGAAAGCGCTTCTCATTATTAATCTCCCTCTGAAGGCAAAGAGAGAACCCATATCACTTTCTGAAGCCAACTTCATTCAAAAGACTTACCATTCTATTGTAAGAATTATTAAAAAAAAAACTTGCTACAAGGGGACTAAATTATCTTTTATTTTATATGAAAGAAGATACACTCCATGAAAGGTATTTTTTCCAGACTGCCTTACCCCTGAATTATACTTAATATCAGTATACATTAATTATGTCATCAGGTTAATTATGTTCATATCTGAAATGATGATTATGGTACAAGTAGGGAGCACCATCAAGAACCTTAAGACATTTGGAATAGTCACATGAAAAGAATTTCTCTCTTTCAAACCCAAATTGCTTATAGCTGTAAGCATCATTTGAAATAAAGCAGTGTACTGTATTTCTTTCACAGTCTCTTTATCCTAACCTACATACAGCTAGTGATAGGCACATAAAACTGAATGAGCTATGTAAACACCAATCATAATGACGTTCACAAAATTTCCTACATATCAGTTCTATTTTCCCCCAAAGCAAATGAATAAACCTCTTGACAACATGGTGTAACTTTTCATCTTCTTGAAAATGATTTTGTATATTATGTACCCCTCACACACACATATGTGTATGCTAAAATTACCTTAAATTCCACTAATGTACTTTAAAATAAAATGCCCCAGAGAAAATATGAATCATGGTAAACATGTATGAAGCAGCTAAAATTTTTTTAAAGGATCATAAATCAATAAATTCAGAAGAAATCCTAAAAAGTCCATATACACATACAGGAGCCACTAGTCTTTCCATTCCTACCAGAATTTCAACTTTCAAAACATTATGCTAAAGAGTCAGACATCCTATGTAATACATGAAGACAGTCTGTCAATAATCTGAGGGAAAAAAAGGTCTTGATGAGACATTCAAAGTAACAGAACTCACTAGAGTTTTCCCTTTCACTTGGGACTTATCCCAGTAGTGGAAAGAAGTCTCTCAGCTCATAAGAATGCATTAATCTGAGAATTACATTATTAAGTCAAGGCAGTTTTGTTAACTTACAGCCCTCTTTAACACCAATTAACTGTGTTAAACTGACAATACTAAATACCATAATCAGCATGGAAGTGTTTGAAAGTAGCAGAAGATGCTTTATGTAGTTAAACAGCACCCAGTGCCCCAAATTCATTGATAATCCTCACCTCTTTGGGGAGCAACGAAATGAAGTCTCGCTGAAACTGAGGTTCTATTACTTGCATCATATGCTTTACTTGTGTTGGTTCACAACTATCAATAAGTTCATCTAAAGCAAGCAGTTTCTCTGGTCCACTCCAGCTCTGTCAAACAGAAAACAGCCTTAGCATTAGTATTATTTTAATAGATGCCCTAAGATAATATGAATATAAAACCTGAGGTAGATTTCTATACCAAGAAGATAGAATTTAAAATGATGAAATTCTTTGAAATTTAAGTTTTACATGGTGAGCTGCCCTTTAAAAATATTCAAATTATTATACAACTCTTGTTGACCAAATTAATTTCCACCATGACAAATGTTTATATTGTAGTAAAATATATTGAAGTAAAATAAAACTATAACAAAGAATAGCTTAAAACATTTGTAAAGTTTATGGATTGTGAACAAAGAAGCTTTTATAGAATTATCTTTTCTCTCACACAAATTTAAATGATAAAAATCATTTAGTCTTCAAGTTTCACAAAGTAAACCAGAAATTTCATTTGGAATGGCAATTTCATCTCACCAAAGCTTATTTTGTAAAATGCTTTGCATATAGCTGAAAATTATTTATTATGTTATTGTGGTTACATGTTCATCTGTAACCAGGATCCTGGCTGTAAACCAAAATTTTTATTCTGTAAACATCAATTTACATTACTGAGTAAATAGAAAATTTTGATTGGTAATTTTCCTTTCTCTACATTCTTTCTAATGGGCACCATAAAATAGGATGTTTTTAATAAGGCACTCATCTGAGAGTATAGCAGATTAACAACATCATTTGCAGAAAAATTAATAACTGAACATACTGCACATCTGACACGTGTGTTTTCCACAAACTCAAAGGCTTCTGATTTGTTATTCCAAAACAACTTCAACTAAAATCTCACAAACAATAGAAAATGGTAGCTGATTTAGTTTTAAAATTAGAGCATGAATAAAAGAGTAAAAAAAACTGACATGAAATGAGAGGCCACAATACTGGAAACCAACACGTAATCACATGTTAAACATACAAGTGCCTTTATGGTGGCCTGTATGTGTACAACAACACATAAAAGGCCACTGGGGGGTTGTTAAAAGATCAACTTGTTTTTTCAAATTGTTTCTTTAAAATGAAGACCACATTCATGAGGTCCTTTGTTTATCTCATCAGCATAAAGTGGTATTGCTTTGCATGCATATGCTGTCTTCTGTTGAAGCAAAGTTTTAAAAACTCAGATCAATTAATGTAATACTCCCATTTTTGAGAATTAATAAAGTCAACAAACTAATGTCAGACAAGTCAGGGTCAAAGTTAGATATAGAAAATGAATGCTATATTTAGTTTCTGGCTCAGACAGGGAGCTTGGACTTGATCTCACAACTAAGTGATATTGTACTGCAGATAAAGCAATCTGAAGTTACAACGTAGCTAGCTCAAATACTGATAGTAGTATTAAGTCAAATCTTTGAAGAATCTCTACATATATATATGTGTGTGTGTGTGTGTGTATATATAAAAGCACCCATTTACATAATACACATATGCTATAGATGTACATATACATAATTTATACATGTATATATGCGTGCAGTATATATATCTACACCCTCATCATCATTTTAAAGCAGTTGTTCTGTCTAAGCCACTATGTTACGCAATGAGATAAAGGGAGATTATCTCTGTCTCTGTACCTTTTATATACTATTTTTCTATACCTTTTCTATACACTATTTCTTCTCATCCTAAGTTAGGAAAGAGAAGTGAGTTAAATTACCACATTTGTTGAAATACTAATACAAATAATAATAATAGCTAGCAGTTAAATAGTACTTTTAAGTTATACAAAGTATTTTATAAATGCTATTCTCATTTTATCCTCACAAAAACTCATGGTAAGGTAAGTGTAGTTTAAATAATACCAGCCTGAGACTCTGGAGACCTGGATTTTAGTCCCACCTGGATCACTGATATACTATGTAAACCTTGGACAAGTCACTTTAACTCTGGATCTCAGCTTCCTCATCTGTAACATAAGAAGATAGCCTAGACAACTTCTAAGAGATCTTCACAGATCTAACTTAACATTCTGTTTCAAATAATATTGGATAAAGCAAAAGTCAAGTAAATGAGTTTCTTAAAGTTTGTTTCAATAGGGTTTGACATTTGTCAATTATGGACAAATGATGTCCAGTTGGGACCTTTAGAAGCTCAGTCATTTGAAGCATATTTGATTTGAAGTAATGATACAACTCTTGAGATTCCTCCTATTACTTCTTGAGTGATATCGAGGAAGGACTGTGTTTTAGGAGGCAAGAAGAGAATCAGGAAAGGTAGACTGTTCTGGCACCAAAAAACTACAATGAACTACCTTTTTGGAAAACAACAATGTGAATTATCTGCATGTACAGATTTACTTCAAGGGATAAGCCTAACTCCAAATTTTACATTCGATTAAGACTTAGCTGCAATGGAGACAATTATTGTATTGAGAAGGAAAAATGGGGAAAAGAAAGTGAGCTACTGGAAGGGTACTGGACTTAGCTATAAACCATGAATTCCACTGCTATTCATTAGCTGTGTGACTTCAGGAAGGAAACTTAACCTCTCTGGGTATTGCTTTCTTCATCTGTATAGGGATTAACTGGATATCTAAGGTCTCTTTCACCTCAAAAATCCCATAATTTTATTTGGGGTGTGTGTGTGTGTGTGTGTGTGTGTGTGTGTGTTTAAGTGGAGATAATTATCCTTTGATTTTCTCAAATAAGGGAGTACTTCTCTTTGGTCTTCTATTTTAAGATATCAAGGGGGAGAAACAGATACAACTTAAGGGTCAAGAAGCGAAACAAAGCTGCAATTTGTGGAGAAATAATGGGCAACAAATGTCAATTGCAAGTTTAAAAATTCTCTACGGAATTCGTATTTTATTTCACATACTTATGAAATTTTGAGTTGGAAGGGACCTTAGAGATCATTTAGTTCAACTTTTCAAGTCATTCAGCATCCACATGAATACTGCAGTATTCAAATGCCCTCTTCCCCCTCCAAAATCTAAAGATAGATCTATCTATCTATGCACCATATCTCCCATCTCTCTTTCTGACATATTTAGTCATTCAAATACTCTTTGCAATTTGATTTCTTAGTAATACTGTATAAAATTAATCATTAAGAAAATACTTTTAATCCTCTTTCTCTATTATATTGAAAGTCTTTAAGCACTGTGAAGACAGGTAACTAACATATAAAATTAAAAAATCTAAATAAAATGGTAAGGAGTGGCAGGGAATGCTAGGGAGCATGTATTGCCACTGTTTCCAAAGGTCAACATGAAAATGGAAAAAAAACCTTTAGTACCTTAGACCTTCTATATTATAGTCCCTCGTATCTCCACTTTTAATTTCTAAAAATAAGAGAACACTTTCAATTAATTATTCTTGTAAACTTGCTTTCAATTCAAGGACAACTCTTCACTTCTCTCATGTTTGATATATTATTAAGAAAATACATGCTCTGAACAGGTGGGCTGCTTGAGAATCCAAAATGAGTGATAATATATGGATAATTCAAGTGATGCACTGATACTCAGGAAACACTAAACCTTGAGAAGCTTTCTAATTTGTTGAGAAATTGGGGAGGATTTATGGGAGGACATGGGCAAAAACAATATAGAGCAAGACAATATGGACAGGCTGTAATTTGCACCTTTTGGATAGACTATAATACAAATACATTCATGGGCAACCCCACATCAATCTTAATAAGAAGAAAAATTAAGGAAATTAACATTTATGTGTTAAACTGATCTGAATCTTTTTAAGGGTTTGGAAAAAACATATGGAACCCAAAAGAATCTAAAACTAGCTGAAGCATTCTTACTGATAGCAGATTTCTTTGTTATAGAATATTTATGTGAAGAAAAAAAGAATTAGAAAGCAGTATGCCTTTAGGGATAATTTGAAATGTCACTGTTGCTAACCACAAACAAGTTTTGCTCATTTAAACCTTTCCCCATTTGAAACAATGATCAAATAAACCTGCATATGGACAAATGGTAGCCTACCACTTCAGATTTTGTTGGGTAATATCTGTCCTTCTTGCAGGAAATTCAATTGATCTAAGCCTCAAGTTTTACATTTTTCACTAGTTTGGTTGCCAACAAAAGTAGAATTTCGGAAAACAAAAACTTGAACTATATAAAATTTCTGTCTTATTTTTGTCTTTAACATGTACTCTTCTTGTAAAATGACCTATTTTTAAAGTTTTCTCTGACCTAAAATGGTTTATCATTGATGCTTATACAATTTACAATGAGTGAAAAGGAATACTCTGTCAGTACAGATGGAGTTGGACCAAACCAGAGCTGTAGCACAGACTTAGGAGCAATAGCAAAACAGTAAGGGGACAAGATATCCCATTATGCTAGTTATGTTACAGAAAATTCAACACTAAGTATGTCCCAACAGTGTGTTCACAGAAATCATGCCATTTTAATTATCCTTTAGCTATATCACACGGGTCAAACTTTAACACAATGAATATACCTCTTTTTTATTGTAAAATTAAATCTACTAGTTGGGCATTTAAATAAACTTTTAAGAGATATGCCTTTAGTAGAGTGATTCATTTGTAAAAGCTTTGGTACCAACACTGAAGATAGAGTATGGCAAAACAACAAGATTTGTGGGGTATGTTAGAGACATGACGCTTAAAAGGATTAAAAGCATTCAGCTACTTAGCTAGCCTTTTGTTGCTAGTAGATTTCTTTGTTATAGAATATTTATGTGAAGAAAAAAAGAATTAGAAAGCAGTATGCCTTTAGGGAAAATTTGAAATGTCACTGTTGCTAACCACAAACAAGTTTTGCTCATTTAAACCTTTCCCCATTTGAAACAATGATCAAATAAACCTGTACATGGACAAATGGTAGCCTACCAACTTTAGATTTTGTTGGGTAATATCTGTCCTTCTTACAGAAAATTCAGTTGATCTAAGTCTCAAGTTTTACATTTTCCCCCCTTTTATGTACTCTGTTTTTGGAAAGCTAGTAGTAATTGCTCACACACGGGATTCTTAATAATTAATAAGATGAGACACCATCAAAACAAGTAAACACTGTAAATGATATCATCAATAAAACACACTCTTGTAAAAGTACTGCACAGATGCCAAACACTGTAGATTGATCAATGAGGAAAAATGGGGGAATACCAAATAACCAAATACAACTTTGGTTATCCATCCACAAAACAAAAATAAAATTGATTAGGTCATTAAAATGCTGAGTAAAACTTAGCCCTGGGCTGCCTTCTGACATTATGAAAACTTGGGATAATTTGCTCAAATTCAGCATTTCTTTTGAGTCTGGGTGCAGTGATGACAATTCCAGTCATCACTAGTATTACTAATTTTCCACCATGTTGGTAACAGGGTATGAAGAAAACAGCTAGTGCTCTTCTTTGAAAACAGCATAACTCAAAGAAAGAAAAGTTTAAAAACACATACATATATAATCACTTACACCCTTGTTGCATTCATCAGAGCTATACTTAAAATCTCTTACATGAATTGTTTTCCCAAGTACATTTTGAAAATTTGTAAATGTGCTTAGTTTTCACCTCTCACTATGAAGAAATGTCTGTAAAGAAATAATAGCAACATTGGGATGTTTTATGATAAAAACTGAAATCAGAGAAAAGCACAATTTCAAATTAAAAATAAGGAACATTGCCAGATAAACAGGAAAATGTACTTCTAAACAATAAACTTAATAAATGTAATTATAAATATATCTATTTGTTTAGCAAATAAGTTTGTATTAATGTTAAGGCTCAATACTAGGGCACTGTAGGTAAAAACAATAGTGAACATTAGCCAATTTTCAGAATCAAGAGAAAAAGAATCAATTTCCATGGAAATGAATCATTATTTAGCCTTTAGTTTGTTATCTAAAATAGTATATGATCACTCCTAGTTCAACTAAAATCACTTTGGTGGATGAAAAAGAGTATGTTTAAGGACATACACATGATGTCAAAATCCATATTGCTGCCTGTGTGCCTAGAAAGCAATTAAGAAAAATAGTGCACTTCTGTTTTTCTGCTTAGATTTAAGAACCCAGTAACAAAATAAATGATGACAATTTTGGAAATCTAAAGTAATCTCTTCAAATAATTACGCTATACTCTTGTTAACCACCTTGCCCTCTACATTCCTACAACCTCTGGGAATGTAAGTAGTCATAGTCAACAAGCCATGTCTGGCCTAGCTTGTTTGGTGGTGTGCCTGGCTGTAGATCCAAGAAGCACTTTCAGTTCACCTTACTTGAAATCAGTATGCCAGCAATATTCACTCCCTACAAAATTTTCACTATTTAAGGCTTGTGAGGTAGTCAGAAAGGCCACATACATACATACATACATACATACATACATATATATATATAAAAATAAAATTTAAATGTTTACAAAGCTAGTTCTTGGCTGTGAGTTTTGTACTTTTGTAAGGTGCATTAAATCCTTTGGGCCACTAGGGGAGCTAGTGAACGCCTACTAAAGAGTAGTACTACAGAAGAGCATTGATGAGGCATCTCAAAATTAATGACTGGCTATGGAGCAATATGGTCTTAAAAGCAGTGAGGCAGCACTAGAAACTAAGTATAATGAAGGCACAAACGGTAAAAAGAAGTTTTGCCAATCTAAAACCAAAAGGTTTTATGATATATATAAACAGCACTGGATAATCTTTTAAAAATTACTGTTACTCAAAAATTAAAATTAGTCTTTTATTAACTAATGACTCAGCAAAACCATTCAAAGACTATTTAGATTTGTCACCTGAAACATTTTCAGCCATTCCTGAAGGCCTGTAGGTGGCTGGACAGATGTAATTCGGCGCCTTTGCTGACCTTGGCCATTGGCCGCTCTGAGGTCCCCAAACGTGGTAGGTGTTGCTGAGCATGGCACCAGGCCAGTAGTGCTGCAAAACAAACGACAGAGGAAGTACTACACAGATAGCTGTTCTCCCCCTTGCCCTCTTTAAAATAAGAATGACAGTTTCTTAATTCCAAAAGGCAATGGTTATCTGGCACATATACATACATTTACCATTTATTTGAAAATTCCGCAGAAAGCCTGGGGATAAGTAAAACCTATTTTTCTATTCTTAGAGTCAGTTTCCTCCCTCCCACATAACCACCTGTTACTATCACAACAGTGCAGATCCTCTCAACAGAATCAAAAAAATCTCCATGGTAAAGCTGATATCACCAGTAGGGTATAAGCATACAAATGACATCAAAATATTTAATTGTACTTAGAACTCACATATCCTACTATCTGAGGCTGCAGAGGCACTTAGCATCACCTTGTGTTGAAAGTTAAAGTTACTTTTTCAGAAGAGAACTGGGAGAGAGTTTGAATTATCCATAAGAAATAATCCAAATGTTTATATTTAATAAGATGCATAGTGTGTGAGAACCTAAAAAAAATGAAGTAATGTAGCCAATGGCTCTGAATTTTGCTAACCAAATTATTTCTGAATTTTGCCCTAGATGTCTTCACAATCTTCCCTCACTATTATGGTCTAGTCTTCTCTAATTATGTATAATAACTGACAGGGAATAATATTCCCTGGTTTGAAATTTTTTTATCATTTTTATGTAGAAGGTATCTGAGTAGAGAAGAGAGACTGGAGAAATGCAAATCTAAAATACAACAGAGAGCACCTAAATATTTTGTTCAATAAATTTAAGTATAAAGAGTATTTTTTAGAAAAAAATGAATAATTCAGTTTCCTCATTTGGAAAACAAGGGTACTAGAGTAGATGATTTCAAAGGGGACTTTTGTAGCTCTTATATGTTCTCTTACATAGAAATGCCTACTGATTGTACACTGTCTTAATTATAATACTATTTTATTTTTCTAATTAAAGTATATAAAACTTGTTTGAATTTATAAAAATCAGGAATGGATGTGATCGTTTTAATCCTTCCTTATTATGGAAGCCTTCAATGATTATGTTTAGTAATACTTCTGCAAGGGCAAGCAAATCACAATAGCAAAATACATTACATTTATTCATTAACTTTTTCTTTTAGCATCCACTACATGCAATACATTATAAATTCAATTCACTATGCTACTTGTGAAGGTTTTCAAATTTAATCAATGGAAGAAATGGAATCTCATTGCTATAGATGATTATCAATGTTTTGATAACTGATGAAAATGCCAATTCATGAAATAATTCTACCACTTTACCAATTCTCATCATTTCACAATATGTCTTATTCTTTCAGTACATTTTATATAATCTCTCGTCCTATGATTTAGATCCTTTAAGACTACAAAACAAAGACAAACTTGTAGCATTAAACTGCATTGGCTTATTTCTACTAATTTCCTATTTCCACATTTCAAAGTGAAGATCCTATTTTTCTCTTCAAGAAGAAATGATTTAATTTCACTTTCTAAAATAAAAATGATCTGTACTTATAAGTCTTGTATGCATAACACTATGTGAAAAATATCTCTTTACCCATTCTCACATGTTCAAAATGGTAAGTATGCATCTTGAAAACTGGAAAATCATCCAAAATTTGCAACTGTTCTACATTCAATCTAATCCTATTTACTGAGATTATTTGTGAAAAAGCTAGCACAACTCCTACCTATATATTTTCTTGCTCTAAAATATGATCCATGACAAATAAAAAACCTTACTAGTTGCTTTTATAGTGTTCAGAAATCACAAAAGTCTATTTTTGTTCATATATCCAGAATATTTTATGAAAAACACATGAAACTAAACCCTAAAAGCTTATATTCCTAAGAAAAAGCATAGACAGATGAATACAAATAAAATTCAAGAAGTAGATCTTTCTTTCAAATAGTTAATTACTTAGGAGAAATATCATGGTGAAGCTAAGGGAGTTAGATTCAATGACCTCTAAGAGCCTTTTCAGCTTTAACCAGGTACGACACTTCTGGGTCCCAGACTCAGTTTCACTGTTTATTTGCTGTATGACCATGGGCAAGTCATTTAACTTGAGTCACTTTTTACTCACCTGTGACATGAACCATAGTAACATTGTGTGTGTGTGTGTGTGTGTGTGTGTGTGTGTGTGAGGATCAAATGAGATAATATGCTTTTTGTTGTTGCTGCTGTTCAGTTGTCTCAGTCGTGTCTGACTCTTTGTGACTCCATTTGAGATTTTCTTGGCAAAGATACTGGAGTGATTTGCCACTTCCTTCTCCAGCTCATTTGACAAATGAGGAAAATGAGGTAAACAGGGTTAAGTCACTTGCCCACGTTCACACAGCTAGTAAGCATCTGAGGCTAGATTTGAACTCAGGAAGGTGAGTCTTCTTGACTCTAGCAGGGGTACTCTATTCACTGCGCCACATAGCTGCCAAACTATAAAGCATTATAGTATTTATTCTTAGACTAAAACAGGAAAAATAGCTAATTTCTTTCATTTCACTGACCTTACTAATAAGGCAAGTGAAGTATCTGTGCTAAAATAAAGTCTTCATGATGCTTGGAAAATTAATTTGAAATACTTTTATATAGTCCAGCTCATATCATTGCTAACAGAGAACGGGAATAACACTGAAATCCATAGATACATCCCAATTCTCACTTTGACCATTGACTCAAATTCCCCCAGACATCAGATTTCTTTTTTTTTTTTAATCAATGCAGCTCATAAAAATAAGAAGAGTTTCATTCTCTTTATCACTTTATACCCTCTGGTGCCCAAAAGCAGTGAAATTGTCTCAGGGAAGGCAAGCAAGAAGAAGAAAAGAACAGAAGACATAGAGAATCTACAAATCAGAGTTAGGCAGTACCAGAAGAACTAAGAATTGGTTATGGAACAAAGCACTTTTTTTCATACTACACTGCCTTCCCTTCAGTTGTCTTATGCTGTAAACAGTCATAATTATACAGAGCTACCATACTTTGAACAGAATAATCTGTAAGAATGATGTCTTCTAAACCGATCTAAAGTAAAGATAATTTTATTGAAAGTAGATTAGTGGTAACGGAAGTAAACTATACTAAATGAGAGATGAAGGTATGTGTATGGGTGTGGGTGTGTGGGGTGTTCTGGTTTTCTTCAAGCAGCAACTTAAGGCATAAAAATAATTTCTCCTATTATTTCCCAGAGAGAGAGAAAGAGAGAGACAGAGAGACAGAGAGATGCACCAATACGAATTCATGGGCCAACTTCCAGCCTAGTAATTCAGAGAAATATGAAGACATTTGGAAAATGTAAATTTAAATTCTGAAAAGATTGATACCTTTCTTTAATTTTTAAAGGATACACACAAACCACCAAAAGTTACTTTTAATTGGCAGCTTAATAGACAGTATGCTTAAGTTAGGCTAATTAGCATGAGAGTGGGAAAAGTTTTGTAGTGACGTATAAATCCTCAAATGATGGAATGCTTCAGTAAGACACAAGAGAACAATTGTAGCTAGTTGTTATGGTAACTATTGGACTGGTATGAAAATGTATGTACTGAAAACATGTAAGAACTACTAAGCAAGTAAAATGTAGTTTCTAACAACAATTTCAAGAAATAAACTTCAGTTAGTAATTATGAGGTTTGTATTATTAGCTTAAAATTGAGTCTTCGGTTTTGCATGTATAAATTTCTACCTCAGGATCACAGTTGCTATAGCAACTTGATACTCACATTTTGGGATTTCCTTTTCAGAATTTCTTAAGAACTGTGCTTTTAAAATTGTATTCAGTTCACATTTTAGTCTTAAGTGAAAGCTTCTATCCATGAAATGCCTTGCTTCATAGGTAATTGTTGGAACAACACAAATTCTTAAATAAGAAACACTGTCCCTCCTTTATTAAAAAAAATCTTTTAATACCATTGAAATTTGGGAATATGATAATTTTAAATCATCAACAATTTAACATAAAGTGGAAAGCTATTTTTCGTCATAGCAACTGGAAAAAGAGGCTGTATGTAAGAACTATGAGAGAAAATTAGTTATTCCATTTAATTACCTTGTATATTCTGAGACTTTGCATGGTTTCTTTCCCAAAGAAAATGACCGGACCTCAGAACCATGGTCCAACTTTCTTTTCATCTACAAGATAAAAAAAAAGTTTTAAATTTTTTTCAACTATACCATTTTTAGTGAGTATCAATGAAAAAATTTAAATTCCCATCTAAATCATAAACTCTCAGAGCTGTAAGGAATCTCAGAGGTTATATGGCATAAGTAATATATTTTTTAAAAATACATAAATGTGAAAACATATGAAAGCTTCATAGTGCATGTCCAGCTAATCACAAGATGCCCAGGTCTCAAGATGGTTAAGAAATGTGGAATGGTGTTTTTCATGTGAACATGAATTTTTTGTTGCTGTGTATTTCCTTGTCAACTGTTTTCTCTAAGAAAAGGCATATTTCATGATAGCTTATACAGTAAAGGGACAAATTTAAGAAGTACCCCTTCCCTCTTGAACTGCATGTGAATTTTAAAACATTTTTGGCTCATTTCTTAAGACTTTTTACAAAACTAAGTGAACTTTTGAAGCACACTGACATTTACTATGAGGAAAAGATAACAAAAGTTATAAAATCTTATTGAAATATCAACTGTTATTCAAATAATTAATAACAAGCAGAGAGAATATTGAAAGGAAAAAAACTCCATAAAATCAAAGGGCTGTCAGAAAAAGGAATAACATTTCTAGGGGGAAAAAATCAATTGATCCATCATTAAGTTTTCATATGTACATATATACATTTAGAACTAAAATAATCTTGTACTATTTTGAAATGCCCCAAATCTTCAAAGTAAGGGATAAAATTAACATCTACATAAAGAGTTATGCTACCCTATGAGCCAAATATAGTATCCGGGCCTTAAGTATTACATCTTGCTTCATTACACAGCACTGCACAAAAAAAATTTTCAGAATGCTGTTTTTATTATGATGATATGATGTGTTCACTTTCATATCTTTTTTTTTTGGTAGAATGGTGGAATATCAAGCTTTAGGATATACTTCAATAATAGTCGGTTGAGTTTACCCAAACTCCATGTATTTGAAAACTGAAAAGAATAAAATTTGATGGTAAAAATACAACTTTTTTCCCCAACCTTAAATGTTTCCTCCTCTATGTTTGTTCCCTGATTTACTATTTCAAGGTATATGAGAAAACCCAATAGCCTCCAAAGTGATGGATAGCCTCTTTCATTTCTATGATAAAAAAAAATAAATAGCAGCAGCAGCTTACATTATAGGAACCTTGTTTTCCTGCCTACTGCCTCACATGGGAACATCACAGAACAACATGCTATGTAACATTAAAACTAAAAAGAACTCTAAGCTCCCAAAACTGACCTGCACAGCAATGCTTAGGGATAATGAGTACCATCTTTCTAACATCATGTAGGAAAAGACTGCACAAACACAGAGAGTTTATTCCTTGGTTCACGACAGCTAACTGGAAGACTACTAACTGGTCTCTGCTATCTTGGAGAAGTTTCCTTCTTCATTAAGTGTGTTTTAAAGTAATTCTTCTTAAAGAAATCATTGTTTCTCCTTCTTGAAGCAGACTTGCTTTTCAAAGAAGTAAAATAAAATAAAAGTTGGGACAAAAATATTATTTGATATATCTCTAAATACAGATGCATACACACACGCATCCATGCACCAAAGGGCCAGTACAGAATGCCCTAAAAAATGTTATGGTCTTTGGATAACTATCTCATTAGTGCTTATTTTCACATTTGCTATTAAAAAACAAACAAACAAACTTGGGTATCTGATCTAATCAAGTTGGTGGTATTGACTTTCAGAACTTCTCAGGATCACTCATAAATAATATGGGTGCAATTGCCATTTGACACACTAAAAACAAACTTTATTCCCATCTTAGGGTTCTTCCAATGAACAAATTGCCCAACATAATACCTTAAGGAAATCCTTGTAAAGGACTGCCAGAAAAAAAATAAAAATAAAATATTTACCCAGGAATTCAGAAGTCTTTTAGATGACATACAGCTTATTGAAACAGTGACTTTCAAATAAAATCAATTTTTGCATATTTTGGTATAGAAGGATACTAAATGAATTTTAAAAGAAATGCAAATCTAATTCTCAAGTGCTGTAGCAATCCTATACTTCACCACAACCAAGTAAGGGGGAAAAACCACATATAAGATGGAAAAATCACAGGTGTAAGATTCATTAAAAACCAACTAAGGTTAGAGAATTTCCAGGTCAGCATTTAGAGAGCTACATTTCAAAGTCATAATAGATTTTTGGCGATAAATGCTCAGTTTTAAAATGGCACTACTTATTCAGATCGCTAAATTCAAGCTTTTTACAGCTCATGTTCTCTTCCTTATTTGCCTTCAATCACAGCATAAAACAGAATACCAGGCATCTAGCCACCCACCAAAATTAGAGGATACTGCAGCCATCTCTGATGATACAGATTTTCCTCCTTAGCCAAGCACACACACACGCACAACACAGGAAGAAAACAGATTACTTACTTTGTAAAAAATCATTTTTAATGTGCCGTAGAACCCCATGTTTTCTGTATTTTTCCCCTTCGTGATTCCGTGCCCCCGTGTGTCCGGCTGCTTGGCAGTCTCTGACAATATAAACCTTTTTCAGGTAGGTATGTCACAGACTCTAATGTGGACATGCTCAGGCACGTCAGAAAAGGAAGATTAGGCAGCAGAACCAGCAACAAAACTCCACTGTAAAGGCAAATGCAGCTCAGTATCAAACCGCTTCTCAGGACACACATACATACATGCAGCCCGACTGAAGAGAACTCGAGGGAATAATGAGAGAGAACGGAGAAGATTATTGGAGGAGACTATGCCCTGTCAAAGCCTTGACTGAACAGATTCCTCCCTTAGCAGCAGAGGGATCAGATTACATCTTCCCTCGAACACAGAATGGTGCAGTCCAGGATTCAGCAATGCAGACTGCACATCAATTATATGGTGATCCGCTCCAGGGAGCCCGTAAGCACACAAGGCAACGAACAGAGGGAGGATGTGGGCAGGAAATGAGACAACCCCTATGCCACTGTCCCCTCCCCAAACTTTTTGTCTCTTATCTTCATATTAAAAGAGCATAGGATTTTAGGAAAGCATTAACAGGCAGATGACATTTTACCAATTCATTCTTTTTACGCGACTGAAGTAGCATGTATTTTGGGACAGTCTAACAGTAAAACAGGCTATTTTTACTATGATCACGCTGTAGTCCTGGACAAGACTGGGGAGACTGGGTATGCAGAGTCATCAATCCCAAGGAGAGAAATAAAATATTATTTGCAGGGTTAGCAACAGAATGAGCAGGTCTGGAGGGCACAACATTTGTGATAATTATGTAACACAGATTAGAGAGACCTCTGCTTATGAATTTTGTAGTCTGTAGTACTGAAGTCAATTAAAAATTTAATGAAAATAGCAACTCTCCATACTTTCCCATTCTGTACCCTACCCTCCAAGAAGAGAAGGCAGGAAAATTCGCCCTTCTCTTACATTTCCATGAACCCAAGTCAAAAGAATAACATATAAAAGTTTTACTGAAAGGTGTTCCCCCCATTCCTTTACTTTGGCATACAAATTGTGTTCATTTTATGACTTCATTCCCACCAGTTCACACAAAGAGGACAGGTCTATTTCCAAAATTATTTTTTAAAATGTATTAACTAATACAGTGAAAGTTGCCTAAAAGGTAAACTTTTCCTTGATGGTTTATATTGTATGTATAAGTACAAATCTGGACATTGTACCAATTTTCATCTTGTAAAATGTTGAAAACAACTTACTTTGGAGGTAATTAGAAGATTCCTTCGAGTAGAAAGGTCCATTATTATATAGTCTAGTTAATTAATTCCTACTCTCCTCATTAATGTACTACATTATAAGCAGAATATTGTGCTCTGAAAGTTTCCACATATTATTTGGATTTATTACTCTTAAATATCCTCAATTGCAGTAGTAATTGATTTCCTTTAGAAAAAAAAATTACTATTTTTAAAGACCATACTAAATCTTTATTCCGGATAACCAAAAAAAAAATGTTTTTACTCACAAATTTTAAGATTTCAAGACAGTCAATCCAGGTTTGAAATGACTGTTGGTACAGAATTGGTACTGCCAATTGTCGTAACTCGATTTTAAAAATATTAGGTGTGTATCACCTAATATTTTCTGTATTGCCAGCATTTTTAATAATTTGTCATTTGCTTTGTGTAATTAATATAGTATTTCTTTTAATGCAACATTAGATGAAAGAAATACAAAACCCTAGGTCAGTGATTATAAACATAAAAACAAGATTCCAAATATAAGTTCATCGAATAATAAATAGTAGTTCACATTTATATAGTGCCAGAAGGGCTTTCCTCACAACAACCCTGAAGGGTATATGGTTATTATTGTCCCCATAATATAGTTGAGGAAACTGTAGTTCAAAGGTTAAATAATTTGCCCAAAGCCACATAACTTCAGTCAGTGGTTAAGGCAGAACTTCAAGCCCAGCCCTAAATCACAATTCCCATGTTCTTTCCACTATACCACATTGCTACTCATATGATTGTCACTTGAAAATTATATGAACAGAATCAAAGAATATTAGATCATTTTGAGACTGCCATTTAAAAATCTCATTGCTGGCAATATATGATTAATGACATGATATTACATGATATGTGACACAACACAGCACAACAGAAAATAACATAAAAATTCTTGATTTTGAGGGAGAAATGTGTATAGATCCAGAAGAAGAGAATCTTCTAAATAATTTACTTTAAAAATGAAATGTCTTTGCTTTCAGCAGGAAATTAAACTGCTACAAGAATATCCATAAAGTCCTATTAATATTCTAATTATCTACAATTCTTAGAATTTTTTTTACTATGAACAATTCATTTATTTATCTAAACATTTAAAAAAAATTTATGAGGAAAAGAAATTTTTATGATAGATTTCATTGATACACACATGGAATTTAAGATGATGGCCCAACATTTTCTCTCTGGAAAAGGTAGTCAACCCTTAGCAGGATAGTCATTAGGAGATATGGTAGAAGGGAGCAT